AGTCCAGGCATACAAGGTTAGTAAACATTGTTTTGAAAAATACGTCTTTAAATTTTTTTACATCACTTAATTTTTTCTAGGCGAACCTGGTCTTCAAGGTCCGCAAGGTGAACGGGGCTATCCTGGTCTTCCTGGTATGCAGGGACCACAAGGTGAGACGGGACCTCGGGGGCTGGAGGGCCAAAGGGGTGATCGTGGCGAAGATGGCGTAGGTCATCCAGGCCAAATGGGTCCACCTGGCCCACAAGGACCTGAAGGTCGTTGCGTGGATGGTTTGCCCGGTAGACCCGGTGAACCTGGCGTGCCCGGTGCACCAGGCGAACCAGGCGGTCATGGACCACCTGGACAGCCAGGCGTGTGCCCGGACTGCAATGCTTATCAAGCAGCATATGCCTACCCACTGTTGCTTGCGCAGCAGCAACAGAATAATAAAGGTCCACCGAATTACTACAATAAAGGACCACCAGTGAATTATTATAATAAGGGTTAATATGCAGAAATTCGTTTGATGTTTTTTTTTTTATAAATGCGTGTTTAAAACGTGTAATAAAATTAAACGGGTTTTTTTGGAATTTTTAATGTGAGTATGATTTGAGTTTTAGAATAAACCCGACTACATATATAAATTTAAGTTTTCTGAAGACCAAAGAGTAATACAAATCTCGAGGAAAGCTAGAAAGTCGTTTGGTTGTCAAAGTAATGAGATATTGACACTATATTTTTTCACAGCGGAAGTTCACTCCAGAGACATTTTATGAGCACATCTGCGGCATAGGAAAAGAGATCTTAGGCTCTAAGTTTCTCTATTTCGCAGCGGTAGTAACAAATGGCAAAGTTTGCATTTTATGACTTCGGTAAGCCTTTGAAACCCCATCGGGAAAGCATTAAGACCTTCACTGGTACTATGCTTACGCCTGTGGCTTACCTAACGTCGCTTTCAACGGTTTTCGGCTTTCGGCTTTAACTCAACGTAAAAGTAGCTTTCGAAATGCACCGCAACTTCCGAGATGTAGTAAAAGACGATTTCGTCTCCTCCCTGTTAGAACCTCCCTAGGGAAGTGCCCGCGTTCGAAGTCGACTTTGATGTCAATGGAAGACTGTTTTATGGTTTGTTTATTCATGTTGATTGGGTTTCCACCCAGATCCGATATCTAAACCCGAAAGCATTGTCGCCTTCATAAGGTCCCACGGTTATCTATGGAATTTATAAGCTACAGCTGTTTGGTTGACATGGGGGCATCTAAGGAATAAACCCGCCATTCACTTGTGCTTAGTATTACCTCAGCTGGTGGGACATCTCAACCGCCAGCTTAGAAATACAATACAGAGTACAGTTCGAATAAAAAAACCGACATCAGAGAGCAAAGCTAAGTTCGTTAGCGTTCATTAAAGGCCATGAAGTTCGAAAGCCATTTAGCGTTACTTAGAACGATCTGAGCGCAGATGGCCTACTCCATACTTCCCAAGGCAGACCCATAGGCTGACAAAAATATTTTGTAAGACTGAACGTTTCTTTAAAAGGCGTTTATTAAAGCCGATGTCGCCATTTGGAAACCCTATAAATTGCCAGCAGTCTCGTCTACTTTACTGACATACTATGAGAGCAGATGCCTACATAGGTAGACATGATAAAAACCCTGATACAAAAAAAAAAACATTTCGGGCGCCATATTAACTACATGACAATTAAGCAGATTGTTACATTTCATGCTACCATACCTAATCCTCAAAAATTATATGTTTGTAAAAAAATAAATAAATTACAAAATTGGAAGAAATTTGTTATTCGATTGGAGCAACAAAGAAAATTGAATTTTATACATCTTACCAAGGTCTTCTGTGAAACTAAAGACCGGTAAAAATGCTGCCCATCCAAAAAATTATTTATTATTAAATTTGTTCATTACACAGCCAATCATCCAAAATAATTTTGATGTGCTTTGCAAACGGAAGCCCAAGTAAGTCTTTATTTTCGGAGCCTCGTCATATCATAGAATTGTCTATTTTATTGCGATCTAGCTGAAGATTATAAAAAAATAAAAGACTACTTCGTACAACAGATAAGAGTTAAACGTCATATGGGAACATCAAAGAGTTAGCATATTTAAAACAATTTGGCAAATCATTTATGTAACCCATTAGCAACAATTTTCATCATTGCAACGTGTCGACATTCATAACACACGATCCGAAAATTGTTGCTACGAGTTTCGCGAACCAACTTCTTTTGTATATAAAACTTACTGTAAAATATGACGAAAAAATATTTAAAAATATTATAGACATTTACATTAGGGTGGTAAAAAAAAAAGTAAAGTCGGAATTTTAATATTCTCACCCCTTAGGATTGTGCTATACCGAAAAAAATATACACCTATTTTTTCAAATTTTAAATCAAGAAACAAGAAAAATTGAGCTGCTTATTTCCTGAGTGCAAAAGCACGAAATACATATATCTGCAAGGGGACTGATGAAAAGTTTCAGCAAAGAAATTGAGAAAATTACAACATAGATTAATGTTTTGTTACATGTTACATATTATGTAAATTTGTGTATTCGGTTTAAAATAAATAATTGTTTAAAAACTCAATTTTATTTGATTTCCTCATCTCTGCACGTCGATATTCTTCAAAAGTAATTTTTACGCTTGAGAAAAACGTTGAAATTTGTTTATCGATCACATCAACTTGCCTTTTTTACTCTTGTATTGAATTCCAAATATTAAAAAAAAAAATCTCCCTTCTCAAAAAATTCCAATGTTGCAAAGCTATGCTTAAGCTGATGCCAGATAAAACTTTGTAGCTTTGCGTGACATTTATAACTTTGCCAGCAAAGCGCCAGACGCAAAAGGTATGCCACAATGAACTCCAAGAAAACAATGTTGTACCGCTTTTTTACTCATCAAAGTTGCTGTGGATTTTAATTATTTTGATTTAAAATTATCAGCAATGTAATTAAGTTTTATGTTTCTGCATGAAAACCCGAATTTGGACGAAACAAAATAAATATTAAACCGGCTGATTGTCAAAGCGCGCAAAAAGATGGGAGTTGACCATCTTTTCGCTTCGCGCTGCCGCTTCAACGATTTATGTGGCATGCTTTGTGCATTTTCATACAATTCATCTTATCTGTCAAAGCGAATCTGTCACGTAAAGCGAAGCAAAAGTTTTATGTGACATCAGCTTTAATGTTAATCATGCTCTCAATTCGTCGGCCATGATTTTTTTTGACGTTTGCAAACATTGTAAAATTCTATAAAATTGAAAATAAAAAAATGAAAATGTTCGAAATTGTGGTTGTTTGAGATTAATTAATTAATTAATGAGAATATGTGTGTGAGCTTGAGTTAGAATTTTAAAATTATATTGTTGGCAAACGTCAGACTGCTTATCAATGATTTTACCTTGTAATGTTTTTATCATGTACGTAGCTCTTAACAGATTGAGAGCAACATAAAAATGGCTGGAGAAGTAGTTGGGATGTAGTTTCGGAAAGATGCAATTGGCGATTGTGTATCTTCGGCCAAAACCAACAATTCGTTGTGGTACCTTTTAGGTAGAAGACATATATCAACATATGAAACAACCTTCTTAAAAATTATCTGGAACTCAGAGCCAACATAAAACTGAAGGCATCATTTTTTTATTATATCATCAAGATCACTCAAATGCGCTGATGCCGAGGTCTACTGATAGAAGCTTGCCCCCTTACCAAGCTCTTTTAAGCTTTCTATATTAAATGTGTAAAAAGCCTTAAAAGAGCTTTGCTCGCGGGCAGGCCGGTGCTAACCATCGTTCTATTGTACTAGATCAGATTGTTTTAAGGATGTTTATCGGTATAATTGTTTATATCGGGCATTCGGAATCCATTCTAGTTTAATCGCTCGTACTAATAAAAACTCAGCCTCATCTCAGCTACATAAATAGTTTAGTGAAGTGTTCCAGACAGCGATACTCGTCGATTTTTTGTAGAAATCATAGATAACAGAAATGCGCTATGAATAATGTATTAATAGTTTTTAATTGCAAGCATTCAACCCACAGAGCTTTTTGTTTTTAACTTCCTACGTTCCTTTCACTTTTCCCTTTTTTTGCCGTTGTATTCTTCGCCAATTTTAAAAACAGTGGGAGATCACAAATTAGATTCTGATCGTTGACACAATTTCGATTTTGTTTTTGGCTATTCTATAAAAAGGTGAGAGGAACAGCGAAAATTGTTAGTTATATTGAAAGTTCGCAACGATGAAGCAGTGGCACATTTTATCAGGTGTGTGGCGCATCAAATTTATCTTAGCTTAGTTTGGTTTTGAGTGGCTAAAATACACAATGCAGCAAAAAAAACTCAGCCTTATCACAAGTTTCATTTTCCCCGAACCGGTTCACTTTTCAACTTTAGTTTTAGTGTATTTACTATGGGCGGATGAAAAATTTTCGAGTGAATTTTTTTTTAGGCGAAACTCAGGATAAGGCTGATTATGTTTTGCTTGTTTTTGTTTGTTTGTGTAAATTAAATAAAAAAAATTACAATAATAAAAAAAATATCTAATTATTTTGATTTCTTAAAAAAAAAAAAAAAAAATCTAGTTTTATTCCTTATCAACTCGCTTATAACTGGAACGATTGCGCTACCCTATCAGCATTTAGTCACCATTGCTCCGGATGTCACCCTTGTACCACAAGAAACCGTTGTCGCCACGCAATTACAGGTGGCGCCTAGAGCTGATGGCACGCGCGACTATGAATTCAAAGATGTGCCGGTAATTTTAAGCGCGCGTAATATGGAATTGATGCCTGCGGAAGAACAAGTCGTTGAAAAAGAAAGCGTAAACGAAAAAGTACAAGAAAATGTAGAAATGATAAATGGAGAAGTAAAATTGCAGACAGAAACAGAAAAGTCAAATGAAGATGCAAATAGTTTGAATTCAGCGGGTGAGGCAGTACAACCCGCAGTTAATAAAATCGACGAAAGCACTAAAAGCTTGCAAGATGTTGAGCAGAGTCCCCAAAGTGTCGTTACAGCGGTGGTGAGTGAAGATAGTACACATTTTCGAAACTCTTAGGCCATATGTGTAGATAAGTATTTTAGTTAAGCAGTTTTTTTAAATATTTATCAGTTTTAATACATTTTTTCCTTTTAAGCTTATATAAAAACTAACTTAAAATGTATCTATGAATGTAATATTAAAAACATATTTTTCAGATAAAACCCCCCAAATCAAAGCGTCCTGCAATCATTGATAGCGGTAATCCCATTTATATTACAATTCCGATTTATGTGAATTCTGAGCCTGGGTTGCCATTAACACTTTCAGTAGGTAGTCAGGAGATCGCACTCAAAGGAAATAATCGTCAAAGGCCAGCAAGTAGGAGGGGTGTGTTTCAGAAAGACGGTTCACCTACTTCACAATATAATAAGTTGCTATAGGATGTAATAAATATATAATAAAAATAACAAATAAAAAAATTAGAAAACTAATTTTTTCAGCTTTTTAATTTCTTGTAAAAAATTAAAAACGAATTTCTTTTATGTAAATTAAATACATATGTATGCGCACTATTTGTAGCAGTGCCAGCAAAATCTTAAAATTACGAAACTGCTTAAAGTAATTTTTTTAGTATTATTTTTATTGAATTTATTTTATCATATTTAATTAATCGACCTCAAAAAAGGAGGAGGTTATCAATTCGTCGGAATATTTAATTTTTAATTTATTATTTGTTACCGCATGACTTTGAACCACGTAAACCGATTTCGATAACTTTTTTTTTGTATCGGAAAGGTGTTACCTCAAGGGTGGCCCATACTAATTTGGTCTAGATACGATAATTGGATCATGAAGAAATGAACGTTACTTCTAAATTTTTATAAGAGAATTGAAGTCGTTTGCGTTCGTTGGTTAGAAATTATTTGTTTACTTTTTATTTGATTTTATTTATTTTTTTATTTTGTTTTATTTATTTTATCTGATTTGGTTCTATTTAATTTGTTCTTTTTTTATATTAGATATAAATATTTTATTTAAAAAAAAAAAAAATANGCGTAGGAGGGAAGGGAGAAAATTTACTTTCGTTTCTCTTTTTCATCGGCCGAATTTGCTCCATAACCCAGCAAACAATTTAATAAGGAATTTAGCCCAAAATTATAACTAAAAATAATAATAATAGATTGGCGCTTACATATATGTAAGTGTTTGGCCGAGCTTCTCCTCCGATTTGTGGCGTGAGCCTTGATGTTGTCACACAAAGAGGACGCACCTACAGTTACACGCCGACTCCGAACGGCGATTGTATTTCAACGAGAAGCTGTTTTTCACTGCAGAAATACAATCGGGGGTTTGGCATTGCCTTTCGAGGGGCGACCGCTGTTAAGAATAAATGTTTTTTCTAAATTTTTTTGCGATGTTGCTTTGACCAGGGCTTGAATCCAGGCACTGCGGAGCGGAAGCACGCACTGCTTACCACTACACCACAGTGGCCGCTCACTAAATAGTTTATTAAAATGAAATTACAACGTGACTATTTTTACTGGAAGGGCCCCATCCAAAGAACTTGCCTCAGATGGTGTAGTTACGCCACTGCTAGGAAGCATTAAATAAAATTATCTTTTAATAATTAAATATCGTTTAGAATCATTATCCAATTAAGCAGTTTNTAAGAAATATGCATTCTAAGGTAAGCATCGTGAGAAATTAATTTTATAAAACTCTTTCTTTAATATTTCGTTTAAAACAGATATTTCTTTATTTTGAGTCATGTTTCTTAATAATTTTATTAAACGTTTTACTTTAATTAATATATGTACACTCTAAAAAATATTGTTTAAATTTACGCGTATTAAGAGAGATAACCAGTTTCCTCTCTTTATGTATGCAAATTTACGCACAGTGTTTATTAAATTAAACACTGTGTGCCATAAACAAATCTAAAATTTGTTTATTGAATTCTATACACTTAACGTTTACAATTTGACAGATTACATATGAAATGTTTAAAATTTGCTTTAAAAGTGTTTGTTTAACCTTTATGTCAACAGCAGAAAAATTATACGTACGTCAACAGCAGCATATCCGGGTATGCACATACATTTTGTATGTGAACCGGCATTGCGTTGTAACGAAAATGTGAATATTTAACACATTTATTTTAATCTGGCAAAGTTTTTATTGTTATTTTTTGAAGTTTTAAATATGTGAAGAAAGACTTCAGAAATATGTTATTTTACTGTATAAATAATGCGTTTCTAAGAAGACACTATATGATCGTTGGTTTTGAATGTATGCAAAAAGGATTGTTTAGGTACAAAACTTGTATGATTATTGAAACAGGGCTTTTGTAGGTAGACCCAAATAATTATTGTTATGTTTGTTCGTTGCAGAGCTGAGTCACTTGTTCCTTGCCTCGGGTGGGGGGTAACAAATAATTCTCAGCAATGCTTGAACTACAAATACTCTTATTTTAAAATTCTCTACCCCTTGCCACTGGTGGGGGGAAGTAGAGTCTAATAAAATAAGAGGTTGGTACTTTCAATATTAAAAGTTTTAAAAGTTTACCGCTGGTGGGGGGGGGGGGGGGAAAAAATTNAAGAAAGAAGAATAAATATTGTTAAATGCTTTACCCCTTACCTCTGGTGGGGGGAAGTAAAGCATAAAAAATAAAATAGAGAAGAAGAGTGGTAGCCGAGAATCTTTATGATTCTATATGTTTATTAAATATTTTCCTTTTATATAAAAATTCTAATTCTATTTTCCTTAACTAGTTATAAATACATATGTATGTGAGTGTGTGTATGTACATGTTGTTTTGGTATGTACTATTTACAAACAACCGCTTTGGTCTCATCATATTTATTTTAATGCTTGCTTTTGCGTCGGCTATATGTATGCATGCAAATAATAGCAATGCATTTTCTTATGCAGGTATGGGTGTATGCATTTGTATGCGCGAACATTATATTATTTCGGTTGTGTACAAAATATTGACAGTGAAATGTGTTAAAATTTATGGGTTTTTGTTAATTTCTCATGTTTACGTACTATTTTATTTATCTTCTATTCTAAAGTGGACTGTATTTTCTGTGTGTCAATAAGTATTATTGTACGTATATTTTTTGTGTTCAGTTTTATTACCCTGGCAAATGTATGTATGTATGCATACATGTTCAAAGATGTTTGATCAATATTTCTTGTTACATGAGGTAGTTCAAAACTTGAACAAACCCGAAGAACTTGTAGCTAAAAAAGTTTTTAAGCTCTAATATTTACTTAAATGCATGTAGCGCGAACTTGGAGACTGAAAAGATATGTCTTTATAACTAAGTGCTACGCAACGAAATAAAATTTATAAAAGTAAAAATTGCAAATGGTGAATAGCCCACTCCACGAGAATTTAGTTCATTTGATCCTGAGGAACAACAAGGATACATTCGCCAGAGGTTGAAGATTTAGGAGACGACAACAGTGACGACAGGCATTTCGTATCTGAATAGGTTGTGGACGATAACGAAGATGATGTGACTCCAGTTGACTCCGATATAGAAGAAATCGAGTTATCAGAATACGACCCGGAAGATCATGAAGAACTTGACCATATACCGGGGAAACTATACTGCCAAAGAAGGAAACAAGCGGCCTTGGGAATTTTTTATATTATTCTGGATGTGGCTGTTTTTACTACGTACATAATTTACGTCGAGAATTGCCCAAACCTGAAGGCCTTTAAAATCTGACTAGGATGTTCCTTCATCAATTTAGTGAGCAACTGGCGAAACCTGAAATAGAAGTGAGAGCTACTCATAGTCGAATAATCAGAATATACTATACATGCAACGCCATTGAAGCAGTAAACCGCGGTCCTTTGAGGATAATGGATGTTGCAGTATTTAGGAGGCAAGGAAGAACGTGGCAGTGCGGGTAAAATTAAACCAATGGGTAATTTTTCTATATCCGCCCAACAAGGAAAACCTGCATATTTGTTGTGCAAAACACCCGTCTGTGCAGAACATTCTACCAATATGACGCAACGTAATATCTAGATGTAGTTAAAAATCGATTAGTTTTCAATCTATTTATATTTTTTATTTTACAAGTATTATCTTACTATAATAATATTATACTCTTGTATTATTTTAAGAGTTTAAATAATAAAGAATAAAGTTTACTTTTCAAATGTATCAACATACAAATTTGCCTGCGATTTAATATCCATACCCGGGTATGCAGCTGTTGGCGTATGGGGTAAAAGTCGAAAAATGGCCAGATCTCTGCTCCAGGTAGTCCAATCCCACTCAGACTTGGGAATATTACGTAAAATACTTTTGTTGAGGATATCACGAAATTCGTAGTCAATCCGATGTCTTGTTTCTAAGATATAATAGTTTTACGCAAAACATACCCTGGGATTTTGCTGTTGAGATAAAGGTTAAAGTTATGTATATAAAGAGAGGTAAATAGTTTCATCTCCTAATGTGTGCAAATTTACACATCTCACAATGGTCGGAAATGCCATGTTTTACGTGAAAAAGGCATATTTGAAAACTGTGATAAATTAATCGGAATAAAGCTATGTACTCTTATTCAGAATTGTCCAAGGAACTCAATTTTATTTTCAATTATATCTGCTGAGAAAGCCGANTAAACTTAAATTAATCGGAATAAAGCTATGTACTCTTATTCAGAAATGTCCAAGGAACTCAATTTTATTTTCAATTATATCTGCTGAGAAAGCCGATGAATTCGTTTATTTCAACGAATATGATCGTGCTACGTTCTAACAGTTATGTGTTGATAGCTTTCTTAGCAAATTTTTATTGGAAACTTTCCATTATAACAGTAATTGCTGGTTTTGGTGTTTCTTCGTAAATATGCTGATCGCTCAGTGGAAGATCAACCTATCTCGGCAGCTAGTTCGAAAACGCCCTATCTCAGAAATTTTTTCAAGAACGCCCTACTTCAGAATTTGATTGAAGAACGCCCTATTTCAGAATTTTATTGAAAAGGACTCAATCTGAGAATTTGGTTGAAGAACGTCTTATCTCAGGATTCAGTTCAAAAACGTCCTACCTCCAACGAAAATAGATTAAAAATGTGCTGAGATAGAGCACTTTTGAATGGGTAGCTGACATTGGGCGTTTTCGAACTGGTTGCCGAGATAGGTCGATCTTCCACTCAGCCATCGATATGAAATACATATAACACTACTACCGAAAAGTGTTTATTTTTCAACCAGAATCTGTATAAATATACGCCTAAGGTGTTCGTGATTTGATTTTTGAATATGGGATGCTCAAAATATGCACATAAATATATACATGAAAAGTTTAAAACTGCAAACATTTTAAACGTAAAAATACACTTTCTACTAATAA